AAGTGGGTTATAAAAATAAACAAACAAAGATCATGGACACACACACACACACCATCCATGGGTTAGAAAGCCAAAAGTCAGTTTATCCCTTCAGTTCCAACTCTATAATGTCCTGGCTCCATCTCTGCCCTGCTAGAGCAGGTCCTTGATGTAGATATTCCTTCTGACAGCGTTGGAAAAACCCTCATTAAACCGGAACCACACGTCGCTCCTCCCCACAGCCTTTCCCATCTGGCTTTCCAGAGACTCTTCCTTAGAGGCCTGAGGGGCTGTGAGGAGGGAAAATCCAGCTCAAAAACTTGCAGAAACTCTAAAAGTTACAACCTGTGCTCAGGCTGGATGGAGAGGGGTGAATCAGGGAGCTGCTGCTGGGAACAGAGAGTGGGTTTGGAAGGGCAGAGCTGATGCTTCCATGTCCTGAGTTCTGCAAACTCTTACAGCACCCATAAATCCATTGGGATGGGTGCCAGAATCATGGACCTGCCCACTGTGTTGGGGTCTGTGCACCCAAAAATCCCTTCTCCACCCTGCTTATGTCCCCCAGGGATGGTGCTCAGAGACAGGAGCCACTCTTGTCCAGGCACTGAGAATGCAGGGACCCCCCCAGCAGCACCCATGGCCATCCCATCCCTGGGGCTGGGGCCACCTACTGCCACCCATCCCGTGCTGGGTGTCTGTGCCACCTGCCCAGGGCTGGGGTCACCTATGGGCATTCCATCCCTCTGCCACCTACCCAGAGCTGTGGCCACCTGCTTCCGCTCAATTGGCCTCCCAAAAAAATCAGTCTCAGGCTGTGAAAAGCAAAAAGCAGAAGGTGAGTTGACTCTGCAGCACCTGCACTTACACCTCATGTTTGGAGATAGCCAAAAACAAGGCAAGTTCCTCTTTGCACAGAACTGGACACAGGTGACACCTCTCAGCTCTGTCCGATTAAAGCTCAGTCACCCCAAGGCAACTCCACAGAGAGCAGGAGCCAACGCTGCAGAAAGGGCCAGTGGCCTTGATGGAATGCAAACAGCATTCAAACCCAGGTGGGAAAGATAAAATTTAAGGCTGATCCTGCTAAAATGGGGTTTTATGGACAGCCAAGGGCCAGAAGCTGAGCCCGGGAGAGTGGCAGTGGCAGGAAACCACCTCTGCTCACCTTGGCCACTGTTGGGATGCCCAGGGTGGGGGATCAGTGGAGGATGGACACATCCCTCCCAATCAGCTTTTCCAACCTGCAGCTTCCACAGAGCCCAGATTCAGCTATTTCAGCCCAAATACCCACATCTATTTCCTCCCCCACCCCTGAAAGCTTCACAGAGCACATCCATAATGTCACCCAGATCTAATTCATCCTGAAGCTGCAATCCCAGCGATGCCTTTATGGGACACACAGTGCTCTGCTGGGCTATTAAAAGAACCTGGACTAAAAAGTATAAATACCAGTGGAGCCAGTGAGGCTCTGGCAGCCCAGGTAAGTGCTGCTGGGAACTGAAGCAGGAATTGCAGCCCCTCACCTTGTCGTGCACCGCTGCCCTCCGCACGATGTGCTCCAGGCGCTGCTGGTGGTTGGGTGTCCCTGCTGGCCCCGTGTCTGCTCGCTCCTCACTGAGGCCATTCCCAGGTTCCTGTGGGGAGAGACCAGACCTCAAGGTTTGGCCATCAAGCACCTGTCACCCATCCCACCCCAACCCTTCTATCTGCTGTCAGTTTCATTACAATATCCCAACGGCTTGGCACAGATTTTTCCATCCTTTTCTGCCTTGCAGCAGCATATGGGATCAGTCCCAGCTGAAGTCCCTTTCCCTGGGACTTCACAGTCAGCACCATGTAAACAAGGAGCCTTCAGAGATGTTTTTGCAGCATCTTTGCCCCACACATCCCCCCAGAGCCCTTCTGCTGCCAGAAGGGGCTCTCAGGGATCAATTATCCCTGTGGCACCAGGGCAGGGCAGGCACCAGCTACACCTGAGATGTTTCTCAGCTTTTTCCACCCTTCTTCCATCTTCTTCTGCCTCCATGGAGGGTTTTGGCAGTGGGCAGAGCAACTCTACTCCTCCTGGGGGCTTTGGGACCTTTGGAAGTGATGCAGCAAGGGGAGAGCAGGTCAGCTCCCCCACGGACATGACCAAACCAAAGCCAAATGAACCAAAATTCTCACCTCATCACAACCCTCATTAGAGAGCTGTAGGGTTCAGAGCTCCAACTTACAGCGGAGTGTTTCCTTCCAGAATTCCTGTAAAAAGCTGAGCCCTTTGGACTCACCATGCCAACACAGAAGTGAAGCCCTGAAGGCAGATGTGCAGGCAAACAGCTGCGACTGAGGGGGGTTAATCCTGGATTTCCATTTGCAGAGCGAAAGCCACTGGCTGCTTTGGAAAAACCACATCTCCACACCATCCCTAAGGATTTTATCCATATCCACAGCCCTGCCACCCCCCCGGAAACCTCCCTCCCTACCTCTCCCAGGCTCCGTGCCTGCAGCAATGCCTCCATCCTCCTCATCTTCTCCAGCTCAATCTCCCTGGCGATGAGCTGCTTGGCCTGGTAGCTGAGCTGCCTGCGGGCTGGCAGCTCTGGGAAGCGACACACAGCCTCCACATTCCTGCAGCACGGAGAGGGGGAAGCAGAGAGAATAAATCAAAACTAAAAATAAGCCAACATTATGCAAACATTATGCCTGACATGAGCACAGGGACATGGGCCACACACACCCCCCAACACTGTCCCCCCCAGGCTCCAAGTGTGATCCTGACCACAGTGCCTCAGTTTCCCCACCACTGCCCTCTCCGAGTCTCCAGTGGTGCTGGCTGTGTGGAGCCAGGGTGCTGCAGGGTGGAATGGGAATGCTGGAGGGATTACAGGATTTTTAATCTTGGTTTTAAAGCAACAAGAGGAAATTGCAGGCGGGTCTGTGTGGAACAGATTGCCCTGAAAACGCCAAGGGCATAGCACAGCTGAGGCAGGAGCAGCACCGTGACCCTTCACAGCCACCCCAAGGTGCCCATGGGGAGATGTTTAATTGAAATACAGCCATGAACAGTAATTTGGGATCATCAGAGCAGTTGGATTCTTAATGAGGTTGGTGCACCAGGTCTGGTGTTAGGCTTGTTTCAGTATAGCAACACCCCCAGCATCAAGGAGCCAGCTGGGCCAGTCCCTCTGCCAGCTCTAAATATTTCATATGTATCCACCATTTATTTAATATTATTGTCCTTATAGGGAGAAAAGTCCTATGTCAGATAGCTCTGCAGACAGTTAGAAATGAGCTGTCAAATCGATGCTTCAAAGTTTTACAGAGAAAACACAAGTTTTGCTGCCAACAACAGATTTGTTTGCCAGAGAGATACTGGGATGCAACTCAGGTGTCACCAGGATGTGACACCCCCATGGTCCCCATCATATGATGGTTGGACTTGATGATCTTGAAGGTCTCTTCCAACTTTGATGATTCTGTGATTCTGCTCACAGCCAGGAAACAGGCCCTGAACTCACAAAACCCCAAAAGTAATTCCAAAAGGTGGTTCCCAACATCCCATGTTTTCCACATGGCTGTGCTGGGGAGGTGGCATGGGGAGGACAGGGGGAGAATGGATCCCCACGGGCCTTTCCCTGAGGAAAAAAAGCATACTAGAGCACTTCACTGTAATTAGATAGTTGCTGATTTAACAGAGACTCATTTTTGTAATTAGCTTTGCACCAGGAAGACATTAGTGTTGCTCCTCACTGTGGCCAGGTCTGTATTGCCTCTCGAAGGCTCCTGGGTGTTTACAGCTCTGCACAAACTTAAAGCAGAGTCAGGATCAGCTCTAGCAATGGTCAAGCTGTGAATTTATTAATTAACTTTGGTGACAGTGACCTCCTGTCTGCAACATGCCCAGGTGGACCTGCTGTGCCCTGCTGCTTCAGTCCCTCCTCCTCCAGCTCCGGTGAGAGCCAAAGGAAGCTGCTTCCTCTCCTTTAATCCCATTAAAGCTAAACCAGCTCTGCTTCAGCCTCAGCCCAAGGAATCAACAGGGGCAGCCAGACCATGCTGTGGATGGAGCAAAGCCAGGAGTTCTGACTCCTTCTTGAGCTCTCTGCTGTTACTGGCATGGGATCATCAGAGAATCCTGGAATGGTTTGGGTTGGAAAGGACCTTAAAGCTCATTTCGTTCCATGGGCAGAGACACCTCCCTCTAGCCCAGGTTGCTCCAAGCCCCATCCAACCTGGCCTTGAGCACTTCCAGGGATGGGGCAGCTACAGCTTCTCTGGGCAACCTGTGCCAGTGCCTCAGCACCCTTACAGGGAAGAATTTCAACCCCCACACCTTCTCTTCACCCTTGGGACTCACGGATCAAGCTTGTAGACGTATTGGCCCTCGGGCAGGCGTTCCTGGTGGTAGGTGAGGTTGTAGGCCAGCATGGTGCTGATCAGGTCTGCCAGCTGTTGCTTCTCCTTCTGGCTGTAGAGCTGAGTGTTGACCTGGGGAGGAGAGAGCATCACTCATCCAGAATAACTTCTAAACACAAAAATAGCCTGAAGCACAGGGTTTGTCTCTGTGTGACGAAGGACAGTTAATACTCACGAGGTTCAGACTAAGTTTAGTTCCCTATTAGGGTCACACATCCATCCCAGAGCAGGGAGACAGACAAATGGGTCTAGGTGACCCAGGTGCTGGTAAGGGACTGTGACAGACCCCCGAACTCCTGCTCAGCCAAGCCCACTCCAGGTGCAGGGATCCAGGACCCCTCCACACAGCTGGGTATCTCAGAGCCACATGCCCAGCTTCTCACCAACATCTGCATCAGCTGCAACATCAAACCAACCCCAAATCTGGGACAGACATCCAGGATAGCTCAGCCTGGGCAATACAGCACAGGGGATGTCCTCCAGCCCTCACAGAGGAGCTTGCAGAGGGGGCATGTCACCCAGACAGAACTCCTGCCACCGCAATGAGAGGGGGGCCAGGGGGCACTCACCGGGCGGAGTTTTGGAGAGATGATGTCCAGCAGCAGACACAGCACCTCCAAAACCAGCGACTGCTGCCCTGCGCGGCTGCGGGCACTGGGCGTGATCCCCGACACCATGGACATCACCAGGTTCTGCATGTGGTTCAGCTTGGCCACAGCCTGGTGGAGAGGACAGGGACAGCTCAGCCATGGTGTCCCTGGAGGGGGCAGAGCCACTGTGCCCTCCTGGTACTTGCCTCGTGCTGGCTGCTGGGATAAGAGAGTCGGGGGATGTTGGTGGCTGCGAAGAGCAGGTGGAAAGCCACGGGCAGGAAGGGCAGGTATCGCATCAGCTGGAAGCTCTGGCCATGTAGGACAGCTCGGCTCAGCAGGTCAGAAAAGCCCAACCACTCTAGGGCCAAGCACACCGAGCTGAGGGTGGAATCCCGCAGCTTCATGTGCAGGAAATTCTCAAACAGGCCCTGGAAGTGAATGTGGGATTAGAAACAGTTGAAGGTCCAGTAGATGGTCCTGTCAGAGCATGTCACTAGGATTCTGAGCTTCCCACTGAGCTCAGCTCCAGCACAACGTAGCAGGGCAAGGGGCCTGGCTCTCCTCTTGGCTGCTCTTACCTGGGCAAGCTTCTCCTGCTCCCCTGAGGAGATGGCGAGGTGCAGGATGTGGTGGAAGCGGTGGGAGGTGGAATTGAAACCAGATGAACCCCTGAGGTATGACAGGTCCTCATCACCCATCAGGAGCTGGGCTGGCAAAGAGGGGTCCATTCCTATCCTGGGCCTGGGGGGAGCCCAAAGAGAAGAGTTGAGGGTTCCCTGGCCCTGAAGGGACCTATGCAAGGAATACTGGGACCCTTGCAAACTGGACTGGAGGCAATGCCAAATTACTGGGTGCTAAACGGAGTGGTCAAAAAGCATCTGGAATGGCTTTAAATTGACAGAGAAAGGTTTAGGTTGGATATAAGGAAAAATTCTTCCCTGTGAGGGTGCTGAGGCACTGGCACAGGCAGCCCAGAGAAGCTGTTGCTGTCCCATCCCTGGAAGTGTTCAAGGCCAGGTTGGACAGGGCTTTGAGCAACCTGTTCTGTGACTGATACAAATCTGCTGAAGGGCAAGCCAGCTCTCCAGGACCACCCAGTGTCTTGCAAGCAGATCATGGAATCACAAAGTCATGGAATGGTTTAGGTTGGAAGGGACCTTAAAGACCACCCAGTTCCACCCCCTGCCATAGACAGGGACACCTTCCACTAACTCAAGTTGCTCCAAGCCCCGTCCAGCCTGGGCTTGAACACTTCCAGGGATGGGGCAACTACAGCTTCTCTGAGCAACCAGAACACCACAAGGCAGCACAGCCCAAGCACACAGCAGATCTAACAAATCCCCCATTTTACCTCTGGAGCCTCGGGAGCTGGAAGATCTCTTGCCAGATCGAGAAGAGCCCCTTGTTTTGGTCTTTCAAGCCAATCTTCATCGTCTGCACCACCTGCACATTCAGCTCCTTCTGCCCTCGGCTGTGCAGGAACTGCAACACAAGTGAGGGGCTGAGGGAAACAGAGGGGCTCCCCACAACTACTGAGGAAAGCCAGAGACAGCGACACCCACTCTTCTGCCATTTGTAGAGTTAAAAATAACACAGGGGACAGGGTGGATATTTTAGGGATCTGCCTGGAACAAAGTTTTTTCCCTTCCACCCCCATCTAAGCCCAGACCAAGCCCAGAGCTACAGCACATCTGTGTCCCTCAGGGATGTCCTGGTGCCCCTGGTACCTGCAGGGTGTTGATGCAGGAGCGGATGTCGTTCTCGGTCTTCTCGCAGAGGGCCAGCAGTGCACTCATGTCTGCCCTCATGCCCTGCTGCAGGGCGATCTGCAGGAGCAGGAGAGGGGAGTCAGAGGGAGGGACTGTCAGCTGGGGGGCCAGGGGGGCCTCAGCCATGCTGCACCTCGCAGAGCCGCTGGGCGAGCCGGGACGTTGCTGTCCGAGGGAAGCTGAGCAGGAAGGATTGCTGCCGGAGCGGGCGCAGGGCAGGGACGTACCTGGCAAAGGGAAGGACAGTGGTGTCTGAGTGACCACAGCAGAGGAAGAAATCCAGCTACTAATCATGGAATCATTAAGGTTGGAAGAGCCCTCTGAGACCATCAAGTCCAACTGTTGCCCCAGCACTGCCAACACCACCACTAACCATGTCCCCAGGCAGCACATCTACATGTCTTTTAAATCCCTCCAGGGATGGTGATTCCACCTTTGCCTTGGACAGCCTGTGCCAGGGCTGGACAACCCTTCTGGTAAAGGAATTTTCCCTAATTTCCAATCTAAACCTCCTCTGGCACAATATGAGACCATTTTCTCTCATCCTGTCACTTGCTCCCTGGGAGCAGGGCATGACCCCCACCTGGCTCCAACCTCCTGTCAGGGAGTTGTAGAGGGCAAGAAAGGCCACCCTGAGCCTCCTTTTATCCAGGCTGAGCTCCTTCAGCCCCCTCAGCCACTCCTCATCAGACTTGTGCTCTAGCCCTTTCCCCAGCTCTGTTCCCTTCTCTGGACACACTCCCCAGTGTGCTTCTTGTGAGCGGCCCAAAACTGAACTCAGGATTCAAGGTGCTCTGCTCAAAGAGAGACAGCAACAGCAACCAAATCCTTGCCTTGTCTGGTCTCTGTCCCCTCCAAGACACAGAGGTGACACTCACTGGTCGTTGCAGATGCAGATGATGGGCCTGAGCAGCAATCCACCCTCACGTCGCCGTCTCCGGCCCGTGCCACCCGCTGCCTCACCCTCCACATCCTTACGGTGGATGATGTTCAGCAGCACATTGATAGATGCCTTGGGAAAAAAAACAAGGAAAGAAGGGATGAATTCTTGCTGTTGAGAGGCAAGAAACAGCTGATGTAAAAGGGGATGAGCTGCTAATGGGGTCATATTAAGCAATTAATGCAAAAGGTGGCCAGATCCAGGTGCCTGGGGACTCACTGCAGGTGCACCATCAATCTCATCGATGATGAGGCAGTTGGGCTTCTCATTGGCTCCCAGCACTGACTTCATCTGGGTGGCAGCTTCGATGCGGGTTTTGAAAACCTCAGGGCTGCGGTCATCACTGCAAGACAGGATGGTGCCAGGTTAGTGTGGCACGGTGTCACCTCCAGCACAGGACCACTCCAGCACAGCATCACCTCCAGCACAGCATCACCTCTGGCATGGCACCATCTCCACCACAGCAACACCTGTCCCAGGTTCTGTGCTGGGCAGCTGGCACAGACTCACCTGGCGTTCATCTCAACGGCATTGTACCCCGCATGCCTCGCAATGACATGGGCCAGTGTGGTCTTTCCCAAGCCAGGTGGGCCACAGAGCAGGGCTACCTGTGGCACAGAGGTAAGGTCAGACTGGCAGGCAGTGAAGTAGAGCTTCTTCAGCTCCCACCAAGGAGAAGACTCTGCTCCTCAGCCTGGTGGCAGGATGAGGACAGGGGAGGAGACCCACGGCAGTGACATCCTGTTCTGCTCACCTTGTGTTTGGGTCTCTTGTGCTGGTCCAGCTCAGCCTCCAGAATCTCCTCTGTAAGCTGGACCTTTGTTTTCCACTTGTTTGGATGTTCTTTGGGATGGCTGAATGGGGGACGAGCTGCAGTGCTGGGCTTGGCTTTCTTCACAGCATTCTCTTTCCCAAACACCACCGTGTCCCAGAGCTTGAGCCACTTCAGGAGGCAACGGTTTGTGTACTGCAGGTTGGGAAAGAAAGCACAAAAAGTCCATGGAATCTCAGAAGGATCCAGTAAAAGGTTCTCCTCCATGGGAGAGGCTGCTTAGGCTTCCACCTGGCATCGCCCTGGGACAGCATAGGAATGCACTTCTCTTCCCAGTTCAGCCACCATCCCTCAGGGCAACCCAGGACAAGTCACATCAGTCCCATCCCTGCTGTCTTGGCTCAACCCAGCACTTCTCAGTCTCTTCCATCATTTCCAATTCCCTACAAAATTCCTAGAGCTCAAAAAAAATCAAAATAGCTGACAATTCCTGGCTAAACTCCTCACAATCTTTTTTGTCTTGTTTTGGTCATGTTTCATAGTTTCTTTTGTCAGAAGCCCCTCAGCCTCCAGCTGAAAAATTGCCATCCCAAGCTCTCAGGGACTTAGGACTGCTCCCAGGAAGGGCCAGCATGGACACAGGCCCCCAGCAGTGCTTCCAAAGGCAACACCCTGGTCCCACAGCATGAAGGAAGAGGTGTTAAACCCACCCAACCCCAAGCTCCACTTATCCTTAGCACCTCACATCATCACTCAGCAGCTCCAGGTAGCACTGAGGAGTGAATTTGTCCACCCAGAGGCAATGGAGTGCAGATTCCTCCTCGGCCGCTGGATCCGTGTTCCCAGCAGGCTCCAGGCTCTCAGCACTGGGCTCACTCTCAAGGCAACTGCAAGAAAGGATAAGCTTGCCCAAACCATTCAGGAAGCCAGAGCAGAGCTAGGAATTACACCCAGGCCTCCCAGTCTGGGGATGATGAGGGCTCCTCTGCTTGCAAGTCCCTAAAATCTGGACTCCCATGAAGTATTGTGGGAGTTCCAACCAACTGCGTTTCAGGAATAGGAGTGGGATTTCATTCCAACATCTCACCTATTTATTATCTCTGTCAGCTGCTGTGATGCCTCCAGGACATGCCTGCGACGCTTGAGCACAAAGAGAGGGAGAGGAGGGTCAGAGACACCCCAGTAATCCATGGCTGGGGGGAACAGGGATTTGGGAGCCAACCTTGTGGCTACCAGGGGTCACAGGGAAAGATGGGAAGGTCAGAGTAAGATGTGATACCTCTTCATTCACCTGTTCCTTCAGGTAGGAGAATGGCACTCCCAGCAAGTGGAGTGGCGTGCGTGCATTCCAGCCCAGGGAATCTGGGAGCTGCAAGGACACAGCACAAACAAACCCCTGAACCATCTGGAGACCACAGAGAAGGAAACCCAACCTTCAGATCCCTCCTTACATCCGCTCCTATCCCAGAGGGATCATCCTTCAACACCAGGAAGACCCTGGTACCCTCGGTGGATGTCACATTGATGTAGTCTTCCAGGATAGGAGGTCTCTTGAGCACCCACTTCTTAGAGGATGGTGTGGTCTGCAGGGGGGTCATGCCACTTATGTCCAGGTGGTTGGAGCTGCAAAACACCAAATTCCTTTAGCAGGGCTGAGGGAAAGGGTCCTTGAAAGTGGGGTTAAAGGGCCCTTTCCCTCACCCCTGCTAAAAATGGGGTTCAAAGTGGCCAACCTGGTATTGTGGGAAGCAAGAGGTGCCTCTGGGCCACCATCACAGGAAACATCAAGCGCCAACTCATCATCTGCACCAAAACTGAGCTTCTTAGCAGCTTCCAGGCGCTGTCGCTTTGGCTTCGGGGCTGGGAGAGACACCAGGAGGCAGGAAGAGAAGCATCACTGACACAGGGTGATCCAGGGGATGCTCCAGCACCCTGCACCGCGCGGGGCGGGGGGAGAGGGGCCAGCAGCACCAGGGATGGGTCAAACCTACTGCAGGGTGCGGGAGGTGGCGAGGAGCTGAGCGGGACACAGTCCCGGTCCCTCTTCCTGGGATTAGCGTCAGCGAGGAGGTCCTCGGGGGGCTCGGGCTCCTCCGGCGGCTGCCTCCGGGCCCGGAACTGGGAGATTTTGGGGCCGGTGTGGGGAGACGATTCACCTGCAAGAGGAGTGCCGGTCACCGGAGGGACCCG